GCCTGGCCGCCCGCTCGGCCGCGCTCCCCCCTGCCTGCTGTCCCCCCGCCGCGGAATCCCGGGCACGGGCGCAGCGCTCCTCGGGAGCGGGCAGCGGGTGGCCGCCAAGCGCCGCTCCGCCGTCTGTCTGTCTGTCTGTCCCCCTCACCGCTCCGGCTCGTGGGCTGCCGCGGCTCGTGGGCTGCCCGGGGTGGCCCCAGCGCCCCCAGCAGCGGGTGCGCACGAGGCCTGCCCCGATCCGCAGCGGGACCCCCGCCCGGGCCGCCGCAGCCGCGCGGCCAGGGACCCGCGGGGAGGGACGGCGCCCGACCCACTTGGCGCCCGGCCGCTCTGGGGACAAATCGACTGCCGCGGCCGCGGGGACAGCGGCGTCGAGATGGGGGGGGGGCGCTGGGGCAGCTGATCGACGCCGCGTAATGGAAATGTTCGAGCTGGTGCTGGGCGCCTCGGCTGGCCTCTGCGCCGCCGCTTCCCCCTCCCGCAGCACCGGGCGCCTCGCCTGCCCGCACAAGCGCCTTCCAGGGGATCCGCTCCGCGCCGGGGCGGGTTCAAGGGAGGGCTGCTCGGCCGATCTCCAGCTTGGGAAGGGCATTCGGCAGAGGGTCCCGCGTGGCGGCAGGGCAGGGCACGGGGGCTTCTTGGTGGTGTCCCCTTGCTTTCAGGATAGGCTTCTGCGAGGTCCAGCTCTTGCTGGAGACGGGGAGCTGCAGAGCGGCGCTTCTGGGGGCGGGGGGAGGGCTGCCTTGGGCTGAGCACTGGCCTGTCCGGCCGGGTTATCTGGCCAAATCCACCGTTTCCCTGCAAAGCTCCTTGAAACGTGAGATGATTCGTTTGATTTAACAGGTTTATGTATAGCTGGTCCTATTTAAAACAGCATTTAGGCGGTTGACAAGCAAACGCTAATGCATATTAAATAACTATTGAAATGCAGTTAAAACATTTAATCCTTTCTCAAAGAATCAAGGAGGAGGAAGGGGGATTCCTTCCCAAAATGAGCTCCCCCCTACAAAGGGGAGAAGCGCTGTGCTCAGGGACCCTCCCCTCTCGGTGGCCCAAGTGGGTGGTGTGTTTACGGGAAACTTTTGACGTGGCGGCTTCGGGGACGGCTGGAGCTTCCTGGGGCCACGGCCTGGGCAGAGCCCAGGCTCAGTGTCCTCCCAATCTTGTCAGAAGAGGACGGATCCTGCACTGGAGCAAATCTATCTGAACAGGAAAGGGAGGACTTGCGAGGCCCCCGAGCCCAGCCCTGCTCCGCTCCCCCATAGGGCCCCATCTGGCTGCAGGCTGCCCCTCAGCAGTGGCCGTGGCAGGAGGGTTCTGGGGAGAGGCGGGGGCTGCTGCCCAGCCCCAAATGCAGGCAGCTCCGGACTCGTTTTGTGAGGCGGAGGGGTGTCGCAAGCGCCACTTCCTTATCTGGGCACCTCACATCCTGCTGTGCCAACGTGCAGGCTAGAAACCGGAGCAACTTTTGCCTTGTGGTCCGGCGGGGAGAATTTGGCCGGGTCTTTCCCCTGCTTCTCCTTCAATGCCTCCCTGGATCTTTCCACCCTTCGGAAGGGACAAGATGAGCTAGCTGCCTGTGGGGGAGACGGACTGGCCTGCCCCCCCCCCCCCGCAGTCCAGCTCCCTCCACCGAGCTGTGAAGCCTGACGGTGTTGCCATTGGAATCCAGAGCTCCCATCTCAGACCTGTCAGCCGAATGCGGTCCGAGGCCGGTGCTTCAGGTTCAGCCACATGCAGCAGTCTTTGGATGGTTTCCTGGGTTTGCACATTTCTTCTCCGTTCCAAGACTCTCGTAAGGGTTGGTTCCTGGCAGGAGGAGCCTCCAGCCAAGCACTCTGGAGCCCCAGGCCTGGCGCGGAAACCGCAGGAGGCGGCTGACCTCCCAGCCGAGCCCTTTGCTCGCTTCTCGCCTTGCTGCGCTAGCTCATGCGCTAAAAAGCCGGCGTCAGGTGTGCAGCGATTTAAACAACAAACCCCCGAAGCCATAAAAACTGTGAAGACAGGAGAATGTCAGGCTGCATAGAGGCATCTTGACGCTGTGGCTGAGAAACGCCGAGAGGACCTTCCCTCCTCGTCCTGCTGGCCAAGAGGAAGGAGTTTTGGCAAAGGCCAAATAGGGAGAGCCCAGGAGCTGCGTTCAGGCTTGGCGACTTGCCCTTCATCTCTGCCCGCTGTCCCAGTATTACTGGGTCGCTCCAAGCCAAACACTGGTCCGGCCAGCAGGGAGCAAAGCTGGCCTGGCCTGGCCTGGCCTGCTGATGGACCTGGAGAAAGTGCTGGCAGCAGAAGAGGAGCTCAGCTGGTGACGAACTCCCCCCAGGCACGTAATTCAGCCTTTGGCTGCAGCTCGCTCTTCCTTTTTAGGCACCTCAAAGGAAGCTGGTTTGTAACTGCTCGCTATTGTCCTGGCCGGTTTCACACCAAAGGGGAAGGCAGAGCCCAGAGAGCCCTCCTTGTGCACCGGAGACCTCCCGCCAGCTCAGAGGATGCTGCAACAGGAAGGGAGCTGGGATGCCGCTCCGGATGGGGCCCTGCGACGGGCCTCTGCTCTCCGGGCCTTATGAAACGCGCGCCGGTTGGCACACCGCATCACCACAGAGCGTCCCAGAAGCCAAGACCCAAGCGGGAGAGCCGGGTTGCTCCATGGGCGGGCACGGCTGCTCGTCTCTTCCGCCCCACTTCTTTCCCCGCGTGTGCACACATGTCTGCTGGCAGTGGAGCCCCAGAAAGTCCCCCCTCCATCCGGCTCTTTCTTTCCCTCGCCGGCGGCCGGGTGGATTTTGCCGCTTCGCGCTGGCTGGGCCCCCGCCAGAACTCCAGGTGTCCCTTAAGAAGCTGGGATGACATCACCGGCGCCCCGCGGGGGCCTCCCAGACAATGAGCTGCAGCACAGAGAGGGGCTTATCCCGAGCTCCCGGTGCCGCGGAAGAGGCAAGCGCGCTTGGGAGCCAGCCCAGGCTGGGGGGGGGGGTCTGGCCGCAGGTGGGGGCACTCCCCCCACATGGAGGCCCCTAGAGTCTGGCCAGCCAGTGTGGCGCCCAGCAAGAGCGCAGGGCTGGGGCCAGGAGACCGGGGCCATGCCGCCCACCGGGGCCAGCCACAGACCCTGGCCTGGCCTACCTCACAGGGCTGTTGTGTGAGTACAGTGGAGAGGCAGAGGACCGGCTGCACCCTCTTAGGCCTCCCTGGGGGAAAGGTGGCCTAGGAATGGTGGTCAGCAGAAGGGCCGGGCCTGGTCAGGCTGGGCCCACCCAGTCCATCCTTCTGTTCACACGGTGCTGAAGCAGGTGCCCGGAGGCAAGAGGTGGCATTTTATATTGTGCTATGAGCCACCCAGAAAGCCTTCAGCTGTAAGGTGGCATACAAATGCGATGGATGGATGGATGGATGGATGGATGGATGGATGGATGGATAGGGAGGGAGGGAGGGAGGGAGGGTGGGCAGGCCCTGGCGGCTGACGCAGCAGCGCTGCCTTGTCCTCCGCAGCACCAGGAGCCCCCTCAGGCGCAGCCGATGGAGCCCGGCCTCGGCCCGCACAAGGACTCCGTCTCGGGAGACGTGGCCATGCGAGCGCTGCTCCTGGCCCTGCTGCTGCAGGCGGGCCTCTCCCACGTCCCAGGTAGGTGGCTCGGCAGGTGCGCCCGCAAGTGCCACGGCCGAGCTCGCCACGGCCTGGGCGCACGGCGCGGCTCGGCCTGGGTGCTGAGAACGCCCTGGGCGCTGAGAGGGAGGCCGGCCGAGGGTGGCGCCAGGGCCGGCCGGGGATCGCGGTGCATGTGGGCGAGCGTGGCGTGGGGCGCATGGGGCCCCCGCCGGCTCTCCCTCTCCCGCTGTTCTGTCTCAGAAAGGGAGAAGGACCCGCAGTTCTGGCGACGCCAGGCCCAGGAGACGCTGCAGCGGGCGCTGGGCCTGCAGCGGCTCAACACCAACGTGGCCAGGAACATCATCCTCTTCCTGGGGGACGGTGAGTGCCGGGGCAGTGGGGGACGGAGGCACCCCCGCGGCCCCCTCCCCGCGTGGCGCTCCCAGGTTTGGCGTGTGTGCCGCGGAGCAGGGCCACGGGCCGGCTCCGACCTGGTCCTGAGGACGGGTCTCTTGGTCGCAGGCATGGGGGTCTCCACGGTGACGGCCGCACGCATCCTGAAGGGGCAGCTGCAGAACCAGAACGGGGAGGAGACGCTCCTGGAGATGGACCGCTTCCCCTTCGTGGCCCTGTCCAAGGTGAGGCCTCTGGGCGGGGGGGGGCCGCGGGGGGGCTGCCCCCTCCCTCGGCCGGCCGAGGCTGCCTCAAGCCAGGCACACAAGGGAGCGCCTCTCAGCAAGGGCCGCTCGAGGCCTGCGCCAGTTGCGCCGCCAGAAGTGCGCGCGCCATTCCCCCTCCTGTTTGCCTTGCTGGGCGGGGAGCGCTGTGGAGAGCAAGCTTGGCAGGAGAGGGGGAGATGCCCTCCGCGCAACCGGCCGGCCGGGTGGAGCTGGCAGGGCCCGCAGGCCTGCGGCCGAGCAGGGGTCAGGCCAGCCAGATGCCGCGGAGGCTGCTCGGCGGAGCCTCCGCCCCGGGCTTCAGCCCGACCCTTCAGGGAACTCTCCGCAGTGCTGGACTGGCCCCGAGTGGGAACACCCCGTACTGCCACCCTTCGTGCGGGGCCTCCAAGCAGGTCAAGCAGCGCATGGCCGAAATATTTAAAATATGTCGATGGAGGAATGAGTGCGGGCGACTCCTGAGCGTGGCCGGGCAGCCTCCCAGCGAGGCGTTCCAGGCGTTGTGCCAGAGCGGGAGGGTGGGATCGCAGGCAGGCGCGTGCCCCCAGCCGAGGAGGGGTCTTGAGGCGGACCCTGGCCAGGTGGAGCAGGGGGCTCCGAGGGCGCGACCCGAGCCCGTTGAGAGTCGCGGTCCTTCTGCCTGTCCCGGCCTGCCCCGGCAAGCACCCCGGAGCCGTCGAGGGCCTGCGTCGGGCACCGCGGTTCTCTCCCCGCTGGCAGAGGCGGCTTGGCAACGGCCGGTGGCCAGCAAGGGAGAGAGCCGCCTCTGGACACACCCGCATCCCTGCCCCGAAAGAGCAGCGGGTGAGCGAGCCCCACCTGGGAGCAGCGCTGCTGGAACCGCACCCGGCCCGGCTCCGTCGGGCGCAGGGAAAGGCCTCCCCTGCCGGCGAGCAGTCGGGCATGGCAGAGGATGAACGGACAGTGCGTTCCCTCCGGCACCTGGACAGCGGCCATCGCCGGCCGGGCAGCCGCATGCGCCAAGGTGCCGCACTGCCGAAACAGCCTCCCCCCCCCCCCGGGAACTCCCCCACTCAGGCCGCCCTGAGTTGGTGCCGGGGGGCAGGGCAGCATCCCCCCCAGAGCCTGGCAGTGGGTGGAGCCGCACCCCCAAGCTGCACCCCCAGCTGGCTTGCAGCCAGGGCAACCAGTCTGCGTCTTCCCGAAGGCCCTTCTCCTGCTTCTGCCTGCATTTTGAAAGGCTCGGGGCATCCAAGGTCCGTGCAGTGAGAGCCGCCCGTTTGTGGCTTCCGCACGGATCAGCCATCCGGGACTCTGGCCGGGCGCGCCCTCAATCCCGCTTGTGTGCTCGGCTCCGGCATCCCCTTTCCCCAAGCCCTTCCTGGGTGGTGTCCAGTGCCCGGGCACTGGGTTGGGGGAGCTGAGCCCCCGCAACCCACGGGGCTCGCGGGCACCCCACCGGCTGCCCGCCGGACTCCCTGCCCCTCCAGGTGCTCACCTTGTTGGCAAAGATGCAAGCAAACTCCTCCAGTGGGAGGGGGCCCTACTGCAAAGCGGCGTTGCCTCTCAGCCCAGCCTGCCTCGCAGGGTTGCTGTGAGGACGCAGGGGGAGGAGGGGCCCTGCAAGCTGCCTCGGGGCCTTCCGGGAGCACGTGGCCCGGAGGAACACCGCCATGTGCCAGAGATGGGGAACTTGGCAGGAGGAGAGGTACTCCCTGCCCCTCCTTGAGGGCTGCTCTCCTGTGCAGGCTGAGCATTCCTGTGGCCACGGTGTTCTCTCCCCGCAGACGTACAACACCAACGCCCAGGTCCCTGACAGCGCGGGCACCGCCACGGCCTACCTGTGCGGGGTGAAGGCGAACGAGGGCACGGTGGGCGTCAGCGCCGCCGTGACGCGGGCCCAGTGCAACACCACGGCGGGCAACGAGGTCACCTCCATCCTCAAGTGGGCCAAGGCAGCGGGTGAGTGGGCGCCCGGGGCCGGGGGCGTGAGCCAGGAGTGGGCCTGGCCTTGGGAAGCCCGGGGCTGGATGGGGCCCCAGGTGCACGCACATCGATCACCGCACATAATGCAGGGAACCTTTGAACGTTTTGGCACCCAACGCTGCGCTTACTCGCTTCTCATCCTTAAGCCCTCCTTTGGCCCTGCGAGGAGCCAGAGCTGTGTCTCGGCCACCTCTCCGTTTTATCCTCGCAACAACAGCCCTGTGAGGCAGTCAAGGCTGAGAGCCTGGGAGTGGCCCCCGGTGGCCCCCGAGCTCCCTGGCCGAAGGGAGCTTGGCCCCAGGGCCACACGGCCTCAGCCCAGCGCCCGAACCTTTACGCAATCTGGGAAAAGCTTCCAGCTGGAGCCGGGCGTAACGTTGCGTAAGAACTGGCTGGGTGGCAGCAAGACCGAAGAGGCAGCTTCCCAGGCCTCTCCAGATCGCGGCCGTTTTGCTGGCTGACCTTTCCAGTGCCAAGGGCTTTGCGAGCCCTTAAACGCTCTGCAGGCAGCAGCTGATTCTCCCGTCCATTTCTGTTGGGAGCGTTGCTCACATATTGACTTTGGCAGCTGCTGTGCATTGGCATTTCCCACAGGCTGGGCAGCCAGGAGGGAGGGGGGCATAATGGCATGTTATCCCCCCGGCCCCTGCCAGACTTTATGAGTTAGTTTGCAATGGACTGCGGATGCAAGACACTTCCTGAACCAGGCTGTTTGAGACCTAGTGGGCCCCAACTCCCATCATCCCTGGCCAGCCATCTTCCCCAGTGCCCATCCGCTGACCGCAGCCCCTTCCCACGGCCGCCGAGTGTCTGGCAATTTCCTGGCTTGTGCCGCTCTGCCCGTTCCAAGAGCTGAAGCCACTCGGAAAGGGCATTGCCCGGGCCCTGCCTGTCCGGGCCACGGAGGTGGAAGCCGAGTGGAGTCGGAGGGCCGTGCCTCGGCGAGGCCACTCCTCTGAAGCCTTGGCCAGGTAACCGCTCACGGGCCCCCGGCCCGGACCTGCTGCGGCTGGCAAGCGAACCACGCCAGCTCCCTCCTCAGCAGGGGCTGACCGGTGGACGTGGGACCAGAGGACGCCGCTCCTTGCGAACGGGCCCTCCGTGCTCCGGGGTGTTCCAGGAATCCGTCCTGCTGATCCCGCCACTTCCTGCCTCCTCTGACTGGCCCTTTCGCATTCAGACTGCTCCCTGGGCGCCACGTGGGCCACCCTTGGAGAGCACCCCGAAGCTTCAGTGGCCACGAAGCAGCTGCCGAGTGGCGTGGACGGCTCAGCCATGTTGTGCAGGGCCTGCTCCCCCCGGGGCCACCCGCTGCCCCCCAGGCTGGATCCAAGGGGATCCTCTTGCCCCTGAAAGCCCTGAGGACGTGATCCGAGGGGTGCTTGAGCATACAGAAGTGCTGCCAAGCCCCGGGGGAGCGGGACCTTTTTCGGTGCCGGCACCCTGAGGAATGTGCCTCTCCTGATGGCGTGACGCATGGGCCGGACCACCCAGGGCTGCCTCTCGGATCGTTCCCAAGTAGCAGCGCCCGCTCACTCCAGGCCCACACGCTCCGCCTGTGTGCAGGCTGGAAGATGCTCCTTGCCCTTCTTAAGTACGTCATTTTATCATTCCAGTGTTTGGCTTTGAAGCTTTCGATGTTCTTGTTTCCCTCGTTCCAAGGTCTTCTGCTTTTAGCCGTCCGCGTCCTTGAGTGCTGTTCAGCTGACATTAAACATTATGTTTATAAAAATATGCAAATTCCCCAGCCAGAGCAGCGCCAGGTGACGTTGCTGCCTGCGGCCTGTGGGTCAGAGCCCCGAAACGCCCTGTCCTTGAGCAGCTCCGTCCCAGGGCTGGCCTGCCTCGCCTCCTCCGGCCTTTGAATTCCCCTAAAGACGACGGCCTTCTCCGTGAATCTTGCCCTCTCTTGATGCACGCAGCCTCTGTTTCACCATTCCCGCTTCCGCCTTGCTTTGCCGGGGGACGTGCTGGGGGCTCTCTCGGTCGGTCCAGGGCCTTTGCGAAGCTCTCCTGCAGCCCCACGTTTCGTGGGCATCCTCGTTCTCGCTGCCCGCTCCAGGTGGATGGCCGAGCGCCGGCCGAAGCCCCGGGGAGGGCCGCTGTGGCCTGCCTGGTCCGCAGGAGGGGCGAGAGTACGTCAGACTCGCCCACACGGTTTCAAATGATCCTGATCCAAGAATGGGGGCCGTGGGGGGGCAGATCCATGCAGATGCGGCTGTGATAAAGGGGACCCATTCTGCCCATCTGCCTCCTCGAAATGGTTGCAGGCGTCCAAACAGTGGATTTTTCCTGTTTGTTTGGTTTTTTAAGCTAATAAACAGATGGAAAAGGCCAACATGGCTTTTTTAAGGCAAACATTGCAATTTAAAAAGCATTCTGTTGAGGCTAAAAACCGTTCAACCTTTCAGGCGAGAGGTGAAGCGCAGACACCCTCGTTCAATGCCCCAAGAAGACCCTTCTGTGCGCCGGGGCTCTTCGCAGCCCTGGCCGGCCTCTGCGGTCGTTCCGTGCTTTTTCGGGGCTGGGGAGCAGCAGATCAAGGACTGGCACTTCCAGGTGCCCACACTTGGCACGCTGCTGCCGCCCGGCTTTTTCTAAATCGGGCTGTGGCCAAGACAGTGTTCCTTTCTGTGCATCGGCCGAACCAGGAGTAAAAATAGTCCCCTGGATTTCCCTTGGAGGACTGTGCCCCCATTCCGGCGACAAAGGGGGCTTGTGCTTCATGCGCGGTGCCCCACTGGGACTCTGCAGACAGGCGGGGGAAGGAGGGCCGTGGGGAGAGGGCAGGGATGCGCCGGAGCGGACAGAGCACCCTTGTTCTCCGCGGACAGGCACGAGGGGAGGCGGGGGCCGCGCCAGCCAAGACCCGCTCGCAGAATGTTTAACCGGATCAGCGGCAGCGATCGTTAACTGGCGGGTGATAACGGCCTGGACGAGCGGAGCGCTGCCTCTGCCAGCTCACCGCTTGACCCCACCGAGTGCCCGAGCGAGGGGGGCGCTGGGCTCGGAGGCAGGAGTGGACGGGCGAGCGCTTCCTGGGCCACCCCGCCCAGCCAGCCTGCCCGCCCTGCGACTGGTGCTTCCGGTCCTGCGTCGGGGACTGGGGGCACGTGGGTGGGGGCTCAGGCCTGGGCCTGGCAGGGGCCCACTCTCCCCCCAGGGCATCTGCCCCTTCACCTGCCACTGCTCTGGCCACGGTGCAGGTGAGGAGCTGGAGAGGCTGCGGCCGATTGCTCCTGGGCATGCGGCCTGCCATCCCAGTGGGGGCGGCCGTGGGTGGCAGGGGCAGAGCGGTAGGCCCAGGCGGGGAGCCTCACCCCGAATGTGGGAGCTGGCGCGGGCCCTGGGGGCGCACGCAGGCTCAGGCCGTGCCCGCCATCCTGAGCAGCGCCTCTGCCCCTGTCACCGCAGGCAAATCCGTGGGCATCGTCACCACCACGCGGGTGAACCACGCCACCCCCAGCGCCGCCTACGCCCACTCCGCCGACCGGGACTGGTACTCGGACAACGAGATGCCCGCCGAGGCGCTGCAGCAGGGCTGCAGGGACATCGCCCGCCAGCTGGTGGAGAACATCCCGGACATCGAGGTGAGAGCGACCCGGCCGGGGGGAGGAAGGCCGCCGGCACACGGCCAGGCTGTGCAAGCCCGGGGTGTGCGCGTCCCCACAGAACAGCACGTGGCGCTCAGGGTGCGTGTGTGACTGTTGTGGGCCATCGCATTGTCTCTGACTTGGGGGCCCCTTGGAATGGACGCCCCCGAAAGGCCCCACTGCGCGGCCCCGCTCGGCTCCTCCAGGTTCAAGGCTGCGGCTCGGGTGGGCGCAGCGCTCCCTCGTCCTGGACCGGAGCTCCCCGCACCACCCCCTCGCAGAGGTCCCAGCGGCGGGCTGCAGCCCAGCCCCAGCCCACCCGGGGTCCTGATCCAGCCGCCCAGGTCCCCTACATGGCCACTCCTCTTTTTGCCCCCCTGCCTCCCGCTCTTGGAGCCACCCCCCATCCAAAGAGGCTGGAATCTTCCTAGGGACCGGCTGGAACTTGAAAGAAGCTGGTCCTCTGGTTCTTGGGGCCTGTGGCCACTTTATGTGGGAGCGATTTCCGTGGCTCTGCATTGGCAGGGATCCGTCCCCAGGAAACGGCGCCTGCAGAGCAAGCCCTTCTGCAGAGGCAGCTAGGCCCAGACACGGGCTGTGCCGTGTGACGGACCGGCCTGCTCCGGACGCCAGAGGCACTTGCCTCCCTGGGCGCAGACGGCTGCTCTGGAGAGCAACGCCCGAGTGGTGCACGAGGATCCAGCACGTTTGCGGAAGCGCGTCAGGCCGAGCCTGTGAGCTACTTGACAGGCGAGGTAGAAATTCGAACCCGCATTTCCTCCAGCTGACACGGAAGCTACCGATTATTTATCTTTCTGGGTGGGGCTCAAGAAAGGAGGGCGCAACTCGTCCTGCTGCACAACATGCCCGGGAACCGGTCCAGTGGCCCCTGTCCTTGTCTGGGCCGCCGCCACCTCCTCCGGTAAGCCCTGGCTGAGCCTCTGGAGGGCAACGGGGTGGCCATCTTGTGCTGGATCCCCAGGCCACAGGCAGGGCAAGGAGAGCCACGCCGAGGAAGCGGAGCAGTGAGGACAACCTCTGAGGAGGGCCCACCCGGAGCAGGGCCCCCAGGACCTCGTGCCTTGAGCGGGGCCCACGGCTTCAGCGGGCGCTTTGGAAGGGCAGTGCCATGACGGTCCTCGGCCCGTTGCTGGGGGCAGCCAAGAGGGACGCAGCGGGGGGGCCTTCGCAAATGAAGCCAGGCCCTCGCCTCCCACCGCCGTGCCGTGCCGTGCCTTGCCGAGCGGCTTGTGGTCGCGGGCCTTGGCATGTCTCCCTGTGACTTCAGAGGTTTCCGAAGCTCTGCCTGGATCTCCCAGGAGTCGTCTGGGCACCACTTCCAGCCCTACGGCTCCTTCCCTAAATCCCTTTTCTTCCCTTCACTTAAACTCTCTCTGAGACCGAGGGCTGAGCAGCTGCGGAGTGGCCTTGAAGCCCTTTGAAGACTGGAAGTTGGCAGGATGCGCACACCCCCACCCCCTTCCTTTAAAAGGATTGAAAGAAGATCCTCAGTTCTCTTCCTTGTTGTTTCTTTTCTTCGTCCTGCAATTTTGGAGGATGCCCTTCCACTCGGGTGGCACCCTTTGTTCCAGCGCAGCACGGTTCCCATGCAGATTCGCTCTCAGGCCCTGACTCCATGGTCAGCTCATTCAGAAGTCCCAGGTCGGGGCAGGTCCCTCAACCGCACGCCCTCCAGCGCGGCGCCTGCAGCTCCCATCATCCCCAAGGACGGACTTCCAAGTAACCATGCACAGAACTGTCTCTTCAAGCGGGGCGGACCTGCCCAGGCTGCCTGAGGCACCATCGCCTTCTGGAGAGGCAGTTTTCCTCCCTTTCGCAGGAGGAGGACTCATTCGCCAAGAGCTGCATGTCCCAAAGCACAATCACGTTTAAAACGCATCCATCAACGTGCTTTTTCCTCCGAGCTCTTTACTCCTCCCAGCTCCTACCAAAGGCTTGATCGCTTGGACTGGCTTTCACGGATGAGCAGGCAAATCGATGGCAGCGCCTTTCCCTGACCAACGGCAGCACCTCCCACGGGCTCCGTGCTCTCGGGCAGTCCAGATCCGAGGTTCTCCAAGGCAGGTGGGGGGCACGTGTCCTTCAGATTTGGGCCTAGAGTGTCCCCCTCTCTGCCCACCTGGGAAGCACCTTGCCCTGGATGCCCCCGAAGCTGGAGGCCCTCCCGTTGCTCGGCCTGATTCCTGAGAGCTCGCCAGCCCTCCTCTCCGCTGGGTCGTGCCCGCAGCACAGCGATTCATCCCCTCGCCTGGACCGTCACGGCGTGTCTGCCGAAGCGTTTCCACAGCCACCGTTCTGGCGCCCCGTCCGAAGGCCACTGCTGCTGCTCCGGGGACCCGCTCGCCTCTGTGCTCCCGGGGTGCTGGAGCACGGGAGACGAGCCACTCCCAGGAAGGAGAGGGACTCCTCTGCAGCGCCCGTTTCCTCAGATGCAGGATGTTGGCCAAAGAGGCCTCCGGAAGGGCTCCCACTCCGCCAGGTCCCCTCTGTTGCGGCTGGCACATTCCAGGCTCGCCAAGCAGAGGCGCATGACAAACCGAGGGCGGCTCAGGCCTTCTATCGGGGCCGTCGAGCGGGACACACGGGATGCGGCGCCGTGCCAGGGCAGCCCAAGCCAGCCGGCTCCGGCGCCTGAGAGGGGGGCTCTGGATGAGGTTAAGCAGCCCTGGGAAGCAGGAGCAGCGGCTTCCATTTCGGCTCCAGGCCCCAGCAACTCCCCGGGCGACCTGGGGCGGACCTGCTGTACGGGGAAGTTACTGTGAGCATCAGGTGGAAAAGGCAGAGAGCCACTGTGACTGCCGGGGAAAAGCAGCTCAGGGAGAGGAAGGGAGAGAAAGCCCGGCTTCCCAGCTCGGCTCATGGGGTCCGGCAGCTGCGTAAAATCTAAACATGAAAGCTATTTCTGCCCCGCGCTATTTGGACTCCTCCATCTTGAGAGGGGCTCCCCTGGCACGCAAGCGGAGGCTCGGCCCGCCGGTGCACGGGCAGCTCCTGGGCATGGATCCGGCGGCGTTTTCCAGGCGCAGGGCCACCCGTGCATCATTCACGCATGTCAGGGGACATTAACCTGATGGCTCTGGAAGGAAGTGTGCCCGGGGGAGACCGGCCGGCCGGCCGGGAGGAGGCGGCCCCGGCGCCTGTTTCCGCCAGTGCTGTTTACTTGGCGTGCTGCTCGTTCCCCCGCACGGAGAGGCGCTCCGAGAGCCCGATCTTCTCGCGGGACTCGTGGGCCATCAGGACCACCACCGCGGGTTCAGTCCCCGGAGGGCCCAGTGCGGGATTTCGTGGCCTTGGTGTGGCTCTCGCGCTTCTGGCCAGAAGAAGCCCTGCTCCCTTCCTCTCCCGGCGGGTTCGGAGTGCTCGCGTTCTCGGACGGGGCAAGCGCTCGTGAAGGCCGGCTTCCGCAGCGCAGCAGAGAACCGGGCGGTGGACGGGGCTGCCAGCAAAGGGGCCGGTGCCACAGGCCGCCGACCACAGATCCCACAGAAGGCGCCCCTTTCCCCCAGAGGCCTGGCAAGCCATGCAGGACCGCGGAGGCCGGGGGCTTGGCACGGCGCTGCCACCCGATGCCAGGCAGAGCCTGGAGGGCTGCCGCAGCCGTGTCAGGGTGCACGGCTGCCCCGGCACCTCGCCACGCTGTGGCCGGGCTCCGTGCCCCGTTCAGGGGCAGCTGCAGCCCATGGAACCAGCGTCGCATTTTTCCCGGGATAAATAAACAGGGTGTGCCGCTCGGTTTGAAAAGAACCCCAGAGAGGAGCAGAAGCCCTGCTGAATCTGTTATTTAAGCTGCTTCATAAGCCCCACTTTACACTCGCTCGCTCGCTCTCTCTCTCTCTCACACGCACGCACACACGCACACACTGACTTTTTCCCAGGACTAGAAATAATTACATGTTGGAGGAGCCAACTCTGTTTAACAGAAATCGGCCTGTGTGTAATTATGATGAAGATTATTTCTTGCTGTTTGTGCTGCTTTATGATTCACCTTCAAAGACCTCAAATCCAGCGAGGAGGCAAGGCTGGGAGGGCGCACAGGAACGTAATTGTGGTCGAAGAAATCCATTTTCAATTACAGGGCGTCTCAAGCTGCAGGGCTGGCCGAGCCTGGAGAGGCCTTTGCGGGGCGGGGGACTGCCGAGGGGGCTTTCTCTCCGGCGGCCAAACGCATCTTCCCAGGGCTGGCCAAGCACGGCGGGATCTGCCCTTCCATGCGGCCGTGAGGCCCCCCCGCCAGATCCCCCAGAATGGCCAGCCCGGTGGCGCCAGGGCAAGTCTGGGGCTCTTGTCCCGGAGTCCCTGCCGGGACGGGGCCCTCATCAGTGCCGGAACGGGCCGGCCACCAGCCCACCCTGGCGGGCAGCGCCCTTCGCTGGGTTTGCCTGGCCCCTGCGCGTCAGCCACACGCTGCCTCCGGAGCAGAGGTCCCACATTCCTGCCCCATCCGTACCGCCGGGCCGGCTGAAACCTGGTTCAGCGGTTCGAATTCGGCAAGGCCCCCGCAGACCAGCTGCCCCACGCCCTCCCAGGGGCTCTCCTTGGGGCAGCCAGTTGCCCCCTGTGAGAACAGGGTCCCCCTGGGCTCCAGGGCTTGCCTGACCTTCTCCTCTGCTGCCACAAAATGTTGCAGCGGGACTGCTCAAAACAGTTCGCAGAGCGGCCAGAATATATCAAACTAGCTAGCGATATGCATCAAAATGTATCCCATACTTATTTAATATAGGTTATTCTTTCTTCATTACTTTGCTCTAACTATATTGTTAGTGTTGTTTTGTTTTAAAGTTTGCACTGCAGGCATTCAGGGTATTTTTAAATCACTAAGATCATTCTTCTTGCTTAACTTGGACCATTGCCCAGGTGGCAGGTGGGTTTCAGGAGAGTTTAGTTCACGGTGCCAAACAGCAACAATAAAAGAACCCCAGATAAATGACGGGAAACAGCTCATCTAAACAGCAAGCGCATTTGTATGGCTTGTATAGAAACCGGGAACCCTGGTGACCGGCCCACTGACCGGCTTGCGGCTTGCGCGCGGCTGGAGAGGTGCCTGGCCAGAGGGTCCGCCCATTCAGAAAAACTGATACCGTGAGAACGGCCCGGAATAAAACAAAGGCGGAATTAAAAAGTTAAAACCTGCAGCGAGGCGGCACGCCACTGCGACGTCAGAGGAGCGGCCCTGGGAAGGAACTGCCCTGGAGAATGGCTGTTTTGGGGTGGGGCCGTGCTGTGGTGGCTGGTGGCCCAGTCAGTGGGGGCTCCCGGGTCACCTTGGTTGCTGGCGTGGCGGCCGGAGCCGTGCGGGTTTGGGCTGGGCGGAGGCGAGGGCCCGGCTGTCCCGCCTGCGCCTGCCAGAGACTCACGGCCTCCGTCTCTCTGTCCCGACTCAGGTGATCATGGGCGGCGGCCGGAAGTACATGTTTCCCAAAAACACCAGTGACGTGGAGTACCCCAACGAGGAGAAGTACCGGGGGACGCGGCTGGACGGCAGGAACCTCATCGACGAGTGGAGGAAGACGAAGCCGAGCGGCAAGGTGAGGCGGGCAGGGCCGCCTGGGCGGATTGTGCCGCAGGGGTGTGGGCAGCGGCGCGAGGACCGGGCTCCTCTCCGCGCTCAGTTCGGCCTCTGGAGGGCACTGGGCACCTTGGCCGGGGTCCTGCCCTGAAAGGCACAGCAGGGAAGGTGGTCCCCGCCCCAAGCCCATGGCAAAGGAGGCCCCCCGCCCCTGTGGAGGAACAGCAGAAGCGGGCCAGCCTGGCCCCCTGCGGTGGGAGGACCCGGAGCCCGAGCCTGGCCCTGGGGCAGGCCGCCTGGCCCCTCCTAGCCAGAGGGGGCCTATATGTGGGGCGGAACGCTCAGGCAGGCGCCCGCGGGAGAGGACGGCTTGTGTGCCCGTGGGCCCCTCGGCGCATTCGGCCCCTCGGGACGTGGAACCGAGTGGGCGCTTCCCAGAGAGCTTGCCGGCTGGCCCGGCTGCGCTGAGCCACGCGGGGCTCAGGACTTGCTCCCCCATCTTTCCCCAGAGCGCCCATTATGTGTGGAACCAGACCGAGCTGATGAAGCTGAACCTGAGCAAGGTCGACTACCTGTTGGGTGAGTCTTGCGGGGACGGGCTCGGGGGCGGGCCCCCTGCCCACGCAGTGAGGGCTGGGTTCCTCAGAGGCACTTGGACGTTCGGTCTCAGCGGGACCCCACCAGCTCCCAGCCTGTTCAAGACCCGCCTTTCCGTGGGCCCCGACATCCAGCCCGGGAGCAGCGGCTTGTCCAGGAGCTCCCCCACGGTTCTTCAGGGGTTCTCCAAGGGGGGATCGGGTCTGGAAGGGGCCCACAGGGCGGCACCCACTCCCGCTGTCCCCACAGGCCTTTTCGAGCCCATCGACCTGATGTATGAGCTGAACAGGAGCAACAAAACAGACCCTTCCCTGACGGAAATGGTCCGGGTGGCCCTTAAAATCCTGCAGCGGAACCCGCTCGGGTTCTTCCTGCTCGTGGAAGGTAAGGCTGGGCGGAGGGGCCGGTGGGCGCAGGGGATGCGGAGCTGGTGGCCACTCGGAACCTCGGGGCTGTGGATCCCGGCCCAGCTGGCGCCGCCCTGGACAGGTGTGATGAGACGGCAGCGGGGCGGATCCCTTGGAGTCCTGCCCTGACCAGGGCCCTCGCCCCTTCCACGCAATGGGGCTCCACACCCGCTCTGATTCAGACCTGCAGCAGCGGGGAGAGGAGCACGTGGGCAGGGCTGGACGTCTCTGGGCCCCGGCGCCACCGTGGACGCCTTTCCACGCCCCGCGTTGTCACGGCATCGTTTGTGGCTGCCCCATGCGCGACCCGCTTTCATAGGGCGGTGGAATTTTAGTTAAGAATGGTTGCCGCTGCCTGAAGTTTTCCGCATTTCGGGTTGTGCTGGACGGCACTGGAAGCGCCTTTGGGGAAAGTGCTCACAACCGGCACACCTGTCAGCTTCGCGGCCCCCATGCCAGTCTCAGCCGCCTTCCCGGCTCTCTTCCAGGGGGCAGAATCGACCACGGGCACCACGAAGGAAAGGCCAAGCAGGCGCTGCACGAGGCTGTGGAGATGGACCGCGCCATCGGCCTGGCGGATCGCGAGACCTCCTCGCAGGACACGCTGACCGTGGTCACGGCCGACCACTCCCACGTCTTCACGTTCGGAGGCTACACGCCCCGCGGCAATTCCATTTTCGGTGCGTACCGGGCTGTTCCAGCCGTGTCCGGTCAGGCGCGAGGGGGCGGCTTCCTTGGAAGAGGGAGGAGGCCGTGGGCCGGCCGCACAGGCCCGGTCCAGCTTGCGGAAGGCCCGGTCCGCCTCTGGTGACTCAAGGAACCTTCCTATCTGCTGCCAATCCACTGGCAAAGCCGGGCTCCCGGCCTGGTCGGCGCAAGGAGCTCTCTGGCTTCCCGGAAGGCGGCGAGCCTTCTGGCTTAGTCCCTCAGCCTCCTGGGCTGCCGGCCGCCACCTTGAGCCCGCAGGCACGCAATGCTCTTCGGCGCAGCGCTGAGGGTGGGTGGCAAGCTCCGCGCTGTGCTTGCCGAGCGCCTCCCGCTTCCCGCGGCTGTCGGCCGGCCCCGACCTCCCACGTCATGGGCAGAGGGTGGGCGGGCGCCTGCGTTTGCTCACAGAAGCCGTTCCGTGTCAAGACAATCATGGCAACAGCCCTGTGGGCTTCCGCAGCCTCCTTCGGCCCCTTTGCAAAGTCACGTTTGTGGCTAACCTTCCGAGGGCTTTGGAAGGCTTCCCAGAGCAGGAACCTTCGCTGCCGGGTGCCTGTACCGCCCCCCACACCACCTCCTGCGCTGGATCATTTCTCTTGCCGTGACAGATAATGGCCCATCTTATTATTCCACAGAAATGGATGAGGAGTTGGACTTAGTCATCGTTATCCTGGGAAGCGTTTTAGGATCCCACCCTGTCCTCTCGGGATGGTGCACGACTGTTGTACGGGCTCTGCCTGCTTCTCTTGGCTTCCTTGCAGCCCAGGCTTGGCTCCAGGCCTCCTCACCCCAAAACGGAAGATAACTTGTTCTTAGGTGCCTGGAAAATATCGTATTGTACCCAAACATTTCCATCCTCAGGGGCTCTGTATCTTTCTCCAAGCATGTTACAAAGAAAGCCTGGAACATTCAGACAAAGGAAGCATTGGAAAGATTCTGTTGATGCTTTTGGAGAAAGATAAGCAGCCCCCGGGGAAGGACATTGCTTTCCAGAATGCATTGGACAGAACTAAAAAAAATATTTTTCGAGTCACTGAATCATGGATTCATAGATTAGCATAGCTGCAAGGAGCCCTGAAGGCCGTCGGGTCCGAGCCTTGCTGTTTCGCAAAACAAGATCCTTCCGTCCTGCAGGGTGAGAGTGCTCCCCCTACATGGCGACCCTTCTAGTTTTCCTAGGCCTGATCCTGCTTGGGACACACTGTTTGCACTGCATTCAGCCCTTCCTGGCGGTTATGAAACCTCCGGTGCTTTTGGTAGGTGGGGTGTGAGACCAGGCAGCTAATTCCTTCTTGTCCCCCGGCCTAGGACTGGCCCCGATGCAGAGCGATGTGGACAGAAAGCCGTTCACCTCCATCCTCTACGGGAACGGACCAGGGTACAAGCTGGTTGCCGGAGAGAGGGAGAACGTTTCCACGGTGAACTTCAGTGAGTCCGTTCGTCTCTCTACTGCCGGAAGTCATACTTCTCCGGGCACGTCAGCAAAGCCAACGCAAAGCCTTGCAGACATTTACACATATGAGAAAATAGCTTGCACACAAAGGCAAACACTGTAACATGGTTAAAAAGCTAGAAAGCAGGCTTAGCCTGGTGGTGGCGGCAGCTTCCGGAGGGCTGGTAAAAACGGCACGGGGGGTTTCCTCACCTGCCAGCAAAGGGCTGGGAATGGAGCACACCTTAACCTGGCACGCCAGGTGGACGGCCGTGGGCATCAGGCGCTCACTCCCCAGAAACACGGCTCTGGTGGCCCTCCATAACCGAGCACCGTCCTCCCGGGGGGGGGGGGGGGGGCTTGCACAGAGCATTGGATGCTTTGTGTAAAATTGGTGAGGCTCCATTGCGCTCACACCGTCCCCGGGCTCCAGATCGTGACGAGCACAAGCGGTCGAGGCGGTTGCTCGCTCCGGCTCTGCCCCCCCCCCCCGAGACTGCCTGCCCGCTGCAGCGGGGGCTTCATGCAGCCCGAGGGCTGGATCCAGTGCCGGGAAGGCCTGGGGAGCCGTCTCCTACGGCAGGTGGCTGGCCAAGGGCAAGAGGGGCGGGGGCAGGGCACCCAGGGGCCAGACCTCACGGCTTGGGGCCCTTGCTGCCTTCAGACCCACACACCAGCCCTGTAGGTGGGACCCAGCGCAGAGACCGGGCGGCCAGCCGAGGTGCAGTGGCGGGGAAGGGGGCCTGCGCCTTGAGCCCGGCGGGCTGGGTCTCTTCCCAGCCCCCTGCCCGGAGGGGGAGGGCTCGGCACCCATCCTGGGGCGGTCCTGCGCAGCAAGGGAGACGGCGCCACTCTCCCCCCCACCGCGCTGCTCACCTGCTCCCTTGCCTCTCCCCGCAGCGGATGCCAACTACCAGGCCCAGTCCGCCGTGCCGCTGCGCATGGAGACCCACGGCGGGGAGGACGTGGCCGTCTTCGCCAAGGGCCCGATGGCGCACCTGCTCCACGGCGTCCATGAGCAGAGCTACATCCCGCACGTCATGGCCTACGCCGCCTGCCTGGACGAGGGCAAGCCGCACTGCCGCTCCGGCGCCCCCGGCGGGCCCCGCGCCCTCCTGCCCGTGCTCCTCTGCTCGCTTCTGCTCCGACACCTGTTCTGAGGACCGTCCGGGAGCGCCTGCGTCCCTTTTCCTCCTGGACCACTTGCCCCAGCTGGACCGAACGGGGCTCCTCCCCACACAGAGACTTCCTGTCCAAACTCCCAGCTCGGACTTTGAGGGCACCAGGCACAGCCGGAACGCTCTGCCCGGTCCCCAGGGGCTGCCCCGAGGGGCAGCTGTGCAGCCGCCGGGGACTCTGGGACCAGGCCTCGGGGGCCGGTCACGGGGAGCTCGTCCCGGTCTGGATGTTCCCGGATCCGCACCAAGCCACGCATGCGGAGACACGGGCTGAGCTCTCCGGGAGGAAGAAGAGAGCTTGGGTTTGGGCCCTCCTGGCAGGAGCGCTCTGTCCTGCCCGCTGAAGGCGGCTCCTGCCACACGAAGGGACGGCACCTTACCTGGACAGGTGGGAGACGCAAAGGAGAGACACTCGCTTTTGCCCCTCCCTCCCTCTGTCTTTCCTGATCCGGTTTTGCTGATCTGAGTGGCAGCTTTCAGGCCCCTCGTGCCCCCGGTCAGCTCACAGCCGCCTCCTAACTTTGCCCCAGGGAGCTGCACGAGCCTTCAGCCAGCTCCCTCGTCATCCGGCGCCCGGTCGGCGTCCTGCGGGGCCGCTCAGAGGCGCCAGGCAAAGCGGGGGGCTCCGTCCCGCAGCCCTGAGCTGAGCCGTGCGGTCGGTTGCTAGGCAGTGCCCGGGTGGCCGCCACCGGTCGGCCCGGCTTCGAATCGATGGCTGCTCGTCCCGGTGGCCACGTGCTGCCTTGCTCCCCATCGCTGGGGAGCGTGGGTGGGGAGCGCTGTTGTGCTCGCGGGCGGCTGATGCGCGGGGCTGGCTTAGCACGCGGTGCCCTTCCCGAGCCCTCGCTGCGCTCTGCCAGCCGCCTGTGCCCGTTTCAGGGATGGAGAAACTTCGGCCCAGCGAGTCCCTGCAGGCCCCGCTGCTCTCCTCGTCCTCCTCCCCACCAGCACCAGCAGCTTGGCGCTTCCCGGTCTTTTGCGCTGTTTCTTCTTCGCTCTCGGAGGTTGAAATGTGCAGGACGCCGGAGCGCACGGCCCGTCGGTCCCACTGGCAGGGCTGCTCTGCTTGGGCACTTCGGCCAGCGGAGTAACGGCCTCAGGGCTCACGGGGGGGGGGGGCAGCAAGAAGACACTTCCTCAGCAGGGGCGCTGGCACCCCCGCCACCCGCCTCGCCCCTCCCCGTCCCCGGAGCTTAGTGGCCTTCTTCCCGGTAGTTAAGCGGGGAATGAATTTTTCCTGCACCGAGTCCCCATTCCGTGCTGCAAGGCGAGGACTTTGGCGTGGCCTGGTCTCGAGCAGCTACTTCTGTCGTGTTTGCGGTAGGAACGACCTGCTCGTAGTGGAGGTGGAAACGGGTAGGCCTGGACGGAGTGGGGTCGGTGGCTACCCTGAAGTTTGGGGCTCCCTTTAAGGGACAGGAGGGACGTGCGCGGTGAGGGTGGGTCACTGCGCCGTGGCACTTGCGTGTTTCAGCCCTCTCTTCTCCGGCAATGAGGTCGGAACGAAGAGCGGGCTGCAGCCACAGGCCGGCCCCCTCACCTGTCCAGGCAGACGTGGCCTTCCAAGAGCAGAGCCTCGAGCCAACGCAGGGAATAGGAGACCACCGCATCAGGCAGGTGCCGGCCCCCGCCTCACCGGTGAGCCGTCCAACCCTCGTCGCCCAGTGACGCCCCCTGCGTCTCGACCGGCCAGCCGCCTCACAGGGCGAATCTCCAGGCGCTGGAATGCGTCAGAGCGCTCCATCGCTCGACCCAGCGAGGTCACCCCCCCCCGACCCCGTCTTCATTGGCTTGCAGACCGACTGTTTCTTGCCAGGCAAATAACGCGCTGATTGATTTGCAAAGTGGTTGGCATCAGATGTTGCTGCCGAAAGAGAGGCATGTTGTTTTTTGAGAAAAAAGAGCCCCTAAATTGATGGATGGTCCTTCTTTCTGTCTGGGAAATTTCAAATAGGAAGAAAAGGTGGGGGAGTTTAAAAATAAAATTATTTTGGAACAACTGGGCACACACACTTTGCAGAAAGCAGGGCCGGGCGGGAGGCCTGCCGGGGGCGCTGGGCTTTGGGGGCGGCTGCTCGGGAAGAGGCGCAAGAGCCGCTTTTGCTCCTGGGTTGCAAGGCCCAGTGTGAGCTTCTGCGGGAGCGGATCGGCACCCCAGCGCCCCGATTGTCCAGACACGGGGCTCACGGTGGGTGGCACGGCTGGCAGGCCAGTGGTCTCCGAGCCCCGACCCTCCTAGGCCCGTGGGCGCCTTCGGACGTCCTTGCAAAACGGCAGCCGCAGCACAGCGTGTCGGACATAAGGCGGCTGCCGTGGGGCTCGGAGGCGTGCGAGCTGAAAACCCCAGAGTGCCGGGGGGGGGGGGCAGCACCTCTGGGTCCGTGGAACGTGGTGCTCCCCGGGCAGTGGGCTTGGCCGTCCACAAAACGGGAGCCACGACCGGCCATGGATCACTCGCTCCCCAGCATGGGGGGAGTGGTGGCCCGAGTGCCAGAACATGAGCTACGCCTTGGAACCCCGCAAGGATCTCGTTCTGGGGAGCCGGCCTCCCCCAAAAAGAAGCGTTAAGAAGAGGAGAAACGCTACAAACCAGGCAGGGCAGGCGGAGTGCCTGGTGGGCACCGGAGAAACGCTACAAACCAGGCAGGGCAGGCGGAGTGCCTGGTGGGCACCGGGGAGGCCCCAGAAGGGAACAAGAGCCGCAGGCAACCGTGGACTGAGGCTGCGGGTTCAAGGCGGGGCTGCTTTGGAGCAGGGCAGCCTCTTGGCATGAGGAGTCGCTGCAGGGGAGGTGGGGGGCCAGCTGAGGGCAGCTGCAGTGGGCCCCATCTGGTGCAGCACCGGGGCTCCTCGCCTGCTCTCCCCAGATGACTGTCTGGGTGGGGCAAGCCCAGGGCGGTGAGCTGGGGGAGGCCAGCCCGCTCTGCTCCCTCTCTGGTAGCCCTTCTGTCACTCTGGCGAGCCCGTGCTGGCGGCGACGCACCCGGAGGCCTCCCGGGGCCTTCGGGGCTCTCTGGGAAGGCCCCGGCCAGCGGGTGGGCATGCCCCCCCCAGGCCGCGAGCAGGAGGCCACCCGGACGCCGGTCTTCCCAGTGGCTGAGCACCTTTGGGAGCGCGTGCCCCCCGGAACGCCTCGTGGTCTCGCGGCTTCTCTGCGAGGCTCCGGACCAGTCCTGGCGGCTGCAGGCACAGTCGCTTTCTGTTCTGGGGGAGCACGGGCCGACGCTGGTGCCAGAATACGTAGCGAATAAACAGGGCAGCCTCAGAGGAGAAGCCAAGCGCGAGGGAGCCAGGGGTGGCTGGCGGCCAGCGAGCATTCTCGGCACTTTTATTTGTCCCCTCCCGGTTTTTAAAAATACCAGGTTGCACTGAGACGAACCTGCTTGAAATATCCTCTCAGCAAACATCCGAGGCTGGCACCTTTGGCGCAGCCCGAGCTTGGCCTGGGTCCCCGCCACTGCTTCTCTAAGGGCTCTTTGCCCAGGCAAAAGGCACCGGCTCGGGGCGCAAGGCAGCGAGCGGGGGGGGGGGGGGGGCCCCAGGGGGGGGGGGGGGGGGGGGGGGGCTCCAGATGGCCGGGAGAGGCTTGGAGGGTTTGGCTGCCGAGGGAGAGCCGCTTCTTGGCCAGGTGCACTCCCTGGGCCAGCCAGGGACGGGTTCTCGCTGCACCTGGTCCTGCAAGACGCGCCCCGTTCCCCGCTGCTAGCCAGTTGAGGGCGGCTGCTTCCCAAGGCAGGGGCGGCAGCCAGTCCGGCAGCTGGCGAGGGCTTGCCGGGCTCCATTAGTGGGGTCAGGTCAACTGGAAAAAGCAGTGCCAAGCTGAGGGGCCCTCCTGGGCAGGGGGTCACGGCCCACGTTCCTCTGGGCTCGTGCAGCAGCGTTGCCTGGCTACCCCGGCGCTTTTCTGCTGGAAGAAGCCAAAGAAGGGGAAGGCCCCCCGCCCCCCCAAAGCAGCAGTGGCAGCCCCCCTGGCCCCGGCCCGCCTGCCCCAAAGCCACCCTGGGCAGTGGCAAGCAGGCCTTCTCCACGGTTATCCAAGCACAGCTGGAGGCCGGCTTTGGTGGAAACGGGCCAAGCTGCACGCAGGGCTTCTTTGGGCCCGGCCGGTGCTGGAAAAGCATCGCCAGGGAGCTCAGCGGGGAGGCGCTCACCCGGTGGCCTCCCGGCCCCTCCCGACTCCGCCAGCCTCTGCCCCTGCGATCCCTCTAGGGGACGGTCCTGTGGGCCCTCGGCGAAGTCCGTGGCTGAGGGAGCTGCCGGACAAGGATGCGGCTTGGTCCTAGGACGAGGACTTTGCGGTGCCCTCGCCCCATGCCGTGCCGGACGAGGCCGTCTCCAGGGATGCTCGGCCAGATGGGCAGCAAGGGGAATCCGGCAAGCAGGGGCCGTTCGGCCCGCGTTCACACTGGCCAGGTGCCAGGCGTGGCCGCAGCCCGGTGGCTGGCTGGGGCTGTTCGGATCCGGTTTGGAGCTGCGCTTGCAGCAATGCTGCGCCAGCTGCTCTGGGCGGTGCTAAGCAGGGGGCGCAAGACGCTGTCAGGAGCAGCTGTGCAACTTCTGAACGTTGCTCCATCTCCCACTAACGGCACCCAAGCCAGTGGTAATCACCACTCATCGCAAATTCCAGCCGCGTCCCAGGTAAAGAAATGAACGGAACTTTCGGATGACACAGAATCTGACAAAAACGACCAACAAGCTGCTGGCCTTTCCAGCCCACCCGGCTGCTGTTTGCGGGACGGTCCTTGCCCAAGCCCCCCCTCTGGCTTCCCGGCCGCAGCCGGCGTGCGCCCCTCCCTCCCCCTTGCAGTTTTGGCTGTGAGGAGGGCTGAGAAAGGGCCGTGAGGCAAGACGGACTTCCGCCTGGCCCTGGGAGAGCGGCTGCGTCAGGGAAGGGCTGGGAAAGGCAGCGCGTTTGGCCCGACCCTGTGGCTTCGATCAGCCAGCTCATTGTCTTCGCTGGGGTGAGCGGTGGGGCCCCCTGGCAGAGAAGGTGGCTCGGCATGGCCCAGGGAGGTGGATCCATCAATCCCACGGGAGAACACACGCGCGCTTCCAGGAAATGCCAGCGCTGGGTGGAAATTCTGGTTTTGAGACACTCCAAATTCTGGTTTGTTTTCTT